GATAAGCTTTACGGTTTTCCTTTTTTCGAACGTCAGAAACATGTACTAACATCTCAGGCTCTCAAATGTACTTGAAAAGAATCATATTTCCAACGCGCCCAGCTGACATTCCCAGCTTAAGTAGTGCATCCAGCACTGGTTTTAAAACGGGAGAAATTCCTCGTGCTGGAAGTTGAATAGTTGCGCCAGAGTGATGGCCACGTTGAAAAAGCTGATACCGAAAAGATGTTTCATTGACTCGATGGGTTGATAGCTTCAAGCGGTGACCACAACCAATATGTGATCGACATTGATACACTTTACCAAGCACAAAAGGGGAGAAATACCTCGTTCGATACGTGTAGACAAAGCGATTAAAGCCGTGAAGAGCACCTTCCGCCTCACCCAATGTGTTGTAAAACCCGATACTTTTAAATATTGCTTTTGGAGGTACCGGTTCCCTTCGATTTTGAGCGGCCATCCCAATTCCATCGTCCTTGCTATCACTACCAAAGTCGAGAGAGTCTTCGGAATCGCCACTACTCACGTCTAGAGGTGCGTTTATGGTATGCTCAACCACAATTTCCGTTTCCAAAACTTCACTTTCAACGTCCTGCTGTTTGGGTTCCACTTGTAGGCTAGAGTTGCCACCTTCGTCGTCTCCATCAGTGTACTCAAGAACGACCGTAGCATCGATCTCAATTCCGGATAAATCCGCCTCGGTCTCCATGCTGCGGCAATGAAATTTATACGAACAAAGGTTTCAGGCGCCAAACGGTGTAACCTACTGGTAGCAAATAAAATAGTTGGAATATAGTCATTATCGGCTTGCTGTGCCCCAACTACGTTGTGCATACCTTCGGAAGCTACACACCTGTGTACTTATTTGCTTCGGAGGTGAGAACCCAGCACCTCGACGCACTTGTCGATCCCGTGTGCACCGTTAAACGTGTGAGACGACAAGAAGAGTTCCTGCTGATCCACGCACCAGAGTCTCAGCACTTCGACGCTGAAAATAAAGTGGCAAGCGTTCAGCACTGACATTCTGTTGAACTAAGGGTAGGGAAACGAACAACAGGTTTTAAGTCTTATCAACAGAAATTCAGCAGTGGTTGATAGACAACAGGCGTTCAGCATTTAAGCAACAGATATTATTATTATTCCAAGGAAATATAGTTTTAAAGCAAACACTATTATATCCAATATCTACCGTTTTGATAAGTTCATCAATTTGGTTCGTCGGCTGCCGATATTGAATCGATTGAATTGCGTAGAAGATTGCCAAATCCAATATGTTACAGTCGGGCGACCGATGCGGTTGGCATACCATCTTGACCTTCCAACCTTGTTCCAGCCCGGCAGCTACAACTTCCCCGTAAATCAGCATTGTCATTTTGTACGCGTATAGTTGACGTTTCCATCCTACATACAAAAGCAGTGTACCTGGCCATTTCTCGCGAATTGCGGATGAAACTTTCTCCTTCAGCATCTACCCATAAACGTTTCTTGGCATGCTCAGATTGTTGTGATTGACGCTCCTGCAGGCTGGTTTTTAGAGTTCCTGTTTGCCTTGGTACACTCCGTAATTTCCGTCGAAATATGTTTTTCCTAGAAGAATCGTAGCGCCGACATTACCTTACCAATGTACCGTTTATTAAGACCCGATCGGTAATGTACTGATTCATCAACTACCAAGTTAAACCGATATAAAGATTTATATATGTTAAACCACTTCTAACCTAAATGGACAATTTCATAAATAGCAACAAAACGATACAAAAAGTCCACCTATCAAAGTATTAGTGTAAAATATTAAAATAAATCAATCAATCAATAAACACCGATAGGACGCTGCACTTGAGCTAAAGCCCACGTCAACCTCTGAAGCTTGTGATCGCTCGTTAGTGCCGGCTTGACTCTTGAAATAAATTGTCAGAGAAGCTCGGTCTTGAGGTAGCGGTGTAGATTTGATTGTGGGATTCCGGTGGCCGTTTCCAAACAGCGCAGCGTCTGGTGCTGACAGAGCGGCACCACAGCAACACACTCGCCCGCCATCTTGGCGATATGGCGGATCGTTTGAGGAGGCAGGGCTGCACAAGCGCGGCAGGGTCGTCCTGAAGGCCCTATATACCCTCGATGGAGGCCCGACTACGCATGGATTATTATGAAAATCCATGCATCATCTTCTGCAGCTACCAGAGCTACCATGGCAAAAAGATTAGGACCACTTTAGTGGCTTTAGAATAGCGTAGTCTATTAATTGATTCATTTTCTACCTTCTTCAACACACGACCGATAATCCTGTAGATGTAAAAAATGCAGATCTTCGTGTGACAGTAATACAAGGTTGCCCATGCTTTGGAGAGGAGGTCAGAGAGCGGTAGGTACTCGGATGTAGATCTGAGAGGTTTAGGGATCTTTGAGGTTCGCTGTAGCAAAGAGAGCATACACGCCTCTACAAACGCATGCGTAGGCGCATATAAATGCAAACATCAGCGTAAAGGTATGCAGTCCTGAGCGTGATCTTGCGATAGGTGTCATTGTGCTCGGTGTTGTACTCCCCTTGAAAACAATAAAAGTGACTTGAACATTGCAGCCCCTCCCCTGGCTGCAGGGTAAGATTCACAACGTATATTAATCAGCTGTTTTGTGTGTTAAAAAATAATGGACTATATTCAGCACCTACACTACAGCTGCGCGTGGTTTATCGGCAAGTGGGGTAGCATCCCAGATAAGGTTGAACGAGATCCCATTGTTGTCGTCGAATTCGGCAAATTGTTAACTTTGCTTCAGTCGAGACTTCGGCTTGCGTCGTTGGTTCGGCGCAACTCTATGTTTCTATCCGGGAGTGACTCAGTAGACCAACATTCATTTGCCAACAGCTACGCCACCATACAGTTTGCGATGAATCACACCCAGAGGTGGGGAGAAGGCGTAGTGGGGACGGAAGCATAGCTGCCGATGCCAACGACCAAGTTGATGGTGAAATTGCTGTACAGGTAGCTGACCATGAGATAATCTCCCATTGTATCTCAGAAATTAAGCCCCAGTGCTGAATTAGGTTAAGAAGCCCAATCGTTCTTGGTTAGTCATGAGCTCTACAGACCTGAGCTTGCCGCCCTCTACCTGGCGAACAGTCTTAGGAGATCGTGGAAGAGATGTATATAATGACGGCGTTTGTGATAGGAATCAGATCACAAATAATAGCACCTTTTGATTGGCTAACAATGTTTTTTTCTTATGACTACCTGGTATTTACTAAATTGTATTTTTTT